CTTAGAGCTGCTTCAGTTTAGAGTTACTTTAATCATTAGTTTTAGCTTTACACTCGGGCTTTTGCAGCAATGGTGCCTGTGGGAGGGGGGGATGGGGCTAATGGAGGAGGAGTAGGGGGAGAGGGACGGAAGACCCACAGGCCCCCTCCCCCGCCCTCGCTCCTTTGAATTCGCCTATAGGCAGAGATTTCTTGGATGTGGTAATCTCAGAATTGAGGCAAAATTTAACCAAGGCAACAGCAACGAGGCTGAAGAGTAATTTACGGCTATTAACGGAAGATTAATTCCCCACTGAAAAGAAAAAAAAAGTGGAAAAATTATGAGTTTCAAACAGAAATCATGAGTTTTTAAGCCATCCAGCTTTTGTACATCCATGAAATTGCTTAAAATCCCTCAAATGAGTATGAAATCCACCAGAACTCTTCCAAGGCAAGTAGTGTAAGGGGGAACCATAGCGTAGAAGTAGGTCAGGAAGTGACGAAGATCCAAAAAACCCAGAAACCATTTGGCCACGTTCCGCAACGACAAGCCAACTCAGTAGCACAGAAGCAGATCCAAATTTACTGCGAAAGCAGCAAATCTTCAGGAGTCGAAAACATTCTATATTCCATGTCGAAAAAATCGAAATTCTACAAAAAAAAATCGAGAAAATAAAATTCTACAAAACGTACATGATATTCATAATTTATTCCACACACTGCAACAACACAAGTGGTCTTCCCGTTTGAGCATATTTTTAGTGATTCTGGTACCACTCCTGCAAAACAATCATCAAGAAACAAAAAAAAAAAAAAAATCATTCAGTATCACATCTGGAAGAGAGTTTAGCAGAACAACTAACAGTAATTTGTGTATTCTTTAAATAAGGAACGAGAAATTGTAGGGTGACGAGCAAAATCCACCAAAAAAATTTTTTTCCGCAATAATACAAACATTCTCTTCTGTGAGCTGGGATAGCAGGATTTTTTATACGTTTTTGCTGTGCATCGCTATAGCGCTGCTACAGCAAGCAAAACGCATATT